GTCTGCGGTGGTTTTGAATGGAGCAGTGAAAAATCTGGATTCGCCGGACAAAACCGTACTCGCTGAAGGCTGAAAAAATACCAAATTCAGGGTCCTGTATACATAGGTTGCTAATAACATGGTCAGTTCATCATGGCCTATGGGGCTGGAGAGCTACACAAACATAGCAGATATTCAGCTAGACACTGCTAATCGCTAAGCACTAGTTCGTCTGGCTAAAATACAATTGAGTTATGTAAGTGGAGAATAATCAAAAAACTAGAAACATAATAAGTGGGCCACGAAAGCGATTGAAGCAGCTGCGCTGGACAGAGATGGTCTGCACTTCCGCAGCACTGTAGACCCCATCCTGAGCGAATGAATGCCAGCTGAGACCTATTTGCACAATTCCTGGGTTTTTTAGATATCCGAATAACTAATTTTCCAATCCCTGTGGATCGACAACAGAAAAAATGCTACGTGGGGGTGTAGCAAAGGGATGGGAGGGAGGAAGACTGAGAGGAACATTTATTTAGAAATTGAAAGTAAGCAAATTCAATCAAATGCCTGTAAATGCTGCAGAGCTGCTCATCAGAAAATGAATGGTTTACGTAACTGATTACTTTTTGCGAAGGATGTCATTACAAACACAAGAAAAAATACACAGTTTGTTTAGGAAATAAACAATAATTACCCGGATTCCTCGGAACGCATCTCGTACCTCTCGTAATCTGGTGCGAAGCGAGAACGGATTTTGTGCCGAGCTCCCGAAATCTGTCCCAAAATCAAAGTCGCTTATGAATGGAGGTTCAAACATCCTAAAACAATTCAGAATTTCACGATGAATAATCCAACAAGAAAAAAAAACCTTGACCGAGCGCTTACAATAACAAGCGAGTAAAACGAATGATTGAGGATTATCGCTACAAACATTACAAATTCCATCAAAATCGCCAAGAATATAAAATATAGACCTAATTACACACAGATTCTGAATGCAGTATGCATTTTCGGTATTCAGCGAAACACCTTCCTCATTTCGAGGCTAAGTAAACTTGCCAAAACCACATTGTTGATTGACCGCACCAGTCCATTTATTTCTGTTTATCCTCGAAACTCAATTGAAACAGGTATGGAAGCACAGTTTGCGTACCATCGCAGCATCGCAAACTT